ACAGTTTTACTACAATTACTAAGAATGGGTAAAAGTTTTACTACCGAACTACAATACTACCCACCAAATTAATACTACACACAGATATATATATATATATATATATATATATATATATAACTTTACAGATATCATCACTAAACAACTTCAGTAAAGCAGATTCATTTCAGTCCAGAACATAGAAGTTACTACTTTTTAAATCCTTGTGCATATCTTATCAATAAAAAAAAAAAGTCCCAGTCCTTTTTCTGTAAAAATGATAAAAAGTATATCACAAAGAGGATTCTTTTGAACATTATACTGACATTTTTTTTAGCAGTATAAAATGTCACAAAGATTAATTTTCTTAAACAATCTTCACTTCTTACTTCTTTTCAAGTTTAATCATTGCACTAATAAACTGTCTCTATTTTAGAAGTCAAAATTTAAGCTGTTTTAATACAGGTTATGACACTTACAGGAGAAAGGATATTAACATTTATGTAAATAACAACAACAGTGAACTATTCAGATTCTTTGCTACAGTGCTTTAAGATATGAAAAGAATTTGAGTAGTTCAGTGTCACAAAGTGTACCACAGTTGATTAGTTCAATAAGACAGCAAAGTATCTTTTCATTGCAATTTGAAATGCAATGCAGTATGGCACAAGTTAAAAAAATTATGTTAAAAAACATCAAGTAATAAACATAAAATTATAGCATGGAATATCCGATTCATAAATTTTATATTTTTGCCACTTTTCTCATTATAGTTTTAAATGTTGTTTTACAACAAGGATACTAAGTTAGTAAAAAGTTGAATACTTTGTTTAGTTAATACATGTAGTAGTTTTAATGTCTAATAACATAAAATGGTTTTAAGCAGATTATTTGCAAATATACTTTTGAAAAAAGTTTGTATCAAATATACAGATTTAATTTCCACATACAGTTCAGTCAAGTTTTGACTAACAATGACCTAATTACTTTTATTTTGTTTTCTAAAACACATTAGTACCAATAACATGGTTTGCACAAGCTAATGTAAAGAAAAAAAAAATCACGATTTTCCAGGACCTAATTTACTAATTTGAACAGAGCATGAGCTCCACCAAAATTAAATAACTGATGTTTTACTCTATTTTATAAACAAAATGCAGAAACAGCTGTTAAACATTTTCTGGCAATATCACATATAGTGAAATGCAAGTAAAACAGAAAAAAAAAATTATATTCTTAACTTGACAGAATTGAAGTCCTAACAGTTGGGTTAACTAGGTTGATGGACTTAGCTTTACACAGATTTGATTTTCACTTCATCAAGAATCTTAACCAGTGAGATTACAAACAATTTTGCTATTAAATACTTCATAATCTGAAATGGTATTCAAGATCCCCTTGAAAATACAGTAGCATATTTAATACTAAATTAGAAAAATATGATATTTTTTGATATCTAGGAACTTAAAATAACCTACTGAGCCAAACAGAAATCAAAATTACTTGCAAGAAACTATTTAAGTATAATGTTGAACCTCATTCGTACTGTGTACATATCAGTAAAAAAACAAGGAAAAAAGACTAAACAGTCAACATTACTTTTTTTTTTCATGTCAAGTGTAAGTATATTTCCATTAAGAAAGTTGAACATTATTTTCAAGTCTGATGGCACTATTTAAAGGTATCTGTATATATAATACATAAAGAAATTGAAACTAGTGATTCATGTCAATAGATGTGGTTTCCTGTTATATGTAGTTTTGGGGTTATACTATCAAGGTCAGCATTTTAAGGTTGCTTACATATGGTAATAAAAAAAACAGGGATTTTCATGGGATCCTTATTATAGTAGATTATTTTTTTTGGAACTGGATAAACAACAACAACAGAAGACAGGAATAAATTTCAGCTGCTAAACAAAAAACGAGACATGATATGTGCTTCTTTAGAGAAGTTTATAAAATTGTTTCTAAAAACTGATGAACTATGTACATCATGATATCATACATACTGAAACAAACATTAAGCTGGTTTTCTACTGAATGAAGACAACAACAACAACGGTAGGTACAAGAGAACAAGTTTATAAACTTAGTGCATCACGGATAGAGATGAAATGTAAGCATCACTCTGAAAAAGTATTAAACATGGTAAGATCTTCAAAGGATGTTGTTCCTGACTGATCAAGCATTTGAAGCATATCACTCAGTTCTTGTTGTGGAGCTCCACTGCCACTACCTGGCCCTGGTTGGTGGCTCCCTGCAGTAGAGGAAACTGGTGTTTCAGGTGCTGCATTTCCTTGCCATTGAGTCCACATTCCTGCTTTACAGGATTAAGAAACAAGAACATTTAACACTATGATTATTGGCATGAGTACATTATGTATTCAGAATTTTTGTATTAAGTTACACTTTTTGCTAATATAGGTACATTTTGGTCTAGTGCTTTATAATAATTAATTAAAAAGTAATAATTAGATTACTCTTTCCATGTATTAAAATGAAGAAAGGTATACATAATTTATTTTGGTAGTAAGCGGATTAAGTTGACTTATTAAATTTATGTGAGAAATGGCTTATGTTGACAAATGTTTTACAGTTTTGTTAAATTTTTGTCTCTCTCTCTCTCACCTTTTCAGTAAAAATATATCAAACATTGAATTAATCTTAATAATAAAACAAAGATCTAGTGGTTTAGAAGTAAAACTTTCAAAAGAACAAACACATTGCAACTACAAAAACAACAAATGAGATTGAGAAGTAAAAATAAAATTAACTGAGGCATTATACACTCCATTATGCTTTGCCCACATTTAACAGTTTTCAAGAGATTTAGCAGATTATCACATTTGTCAAGAATATGTTTACCATGGTTAATCATTTATTTACTGTCTTTTTCCCAGACAATCTTTACATAATGAAACAGCAATTTCATATTTAACATTTCAGTGTACAAAAATCTTGATACCTCTTGATCCAGGAGCTGAACTGAGCTGGGTGTAAGTTGGTCCAGATGGACTTCGAGAAGGTGGGCTCATGTGGGTGTATCCTTGGCTAAAAGGTTCTGATCCAGGCTATAATACAGTAACAATAAAATATAGTTTCATTATGCTAAGTTGTAAAAATGTTACAAGGAATAAAGAATTACACAAAATGAAAGAAATACTTAACATATATATTAAACTAGAAAAAAATATGAAAATGTGACAATGATATTGTGTCTACTGATTTCTAAAATATTTATCAAAACAGTCAGATGGATATCAACATTTCTTGAGTCCAATGCTCTCAGAATGCTTACTATGATCATCAGATCTCATAAATTTTATCATAATAGGACTATTAATTCAACAACTCCAAACAATCATAAGAATGTCTGAAAAAAACATTAATATTCTTACACATACACAAAAAGAAAAAGACATTCTCCTTTTTGCCCAAAGTTTCAACTTGAATGACATTGTTTCTCTTGGGTATTGACACAGGGTCTAAATCTAAAATAGACACAGAGATGAAAGTAGCTAATTGAATTTCCTCTTTGAATACTGGTCATCACCTTTATGACAAGAAACTAATTCCAAAATCAGTGGTCTCTGATATTTTATTTAATTTGTTTGTAATAACAAAATAATTCATTTGCTTTAACTCACATACAAAGCATAATAAGTCATTTTTATCTTCTATCTACCTGAGATTAAAACATCTTTTTAATAACTTAATTTTTATACCATTAATATATATTTTTATTATTACTGTCAATACAGTTTTTCATCATCTATATATATCATGTTCTTTGACACAAAACTTAGTTCCAAGGTTACCTTTGAAATTTCTTTTTTTTAAATAACTTCCCTACAGTTTTACACTCTTTTACTATTGTTTTGCACATCTACATATACACAGCATGGTCACAAGTAAATAGACACCACCTTTTCAGAAAAAATTAAATTGGATTGCCATGTATCACATGCAGATAGCTCTCGTGTAACTTTGCATGAAATTCCAAACAAGCCATCTATCACACAGAGTATACTGTGACTTAGTTAAACTTACTTTTGAAGAGTTGGGGCTTTTTACCTCAAACACATCTATTACCTACATGTGGCAGCAGATCAATTATACAAACAGCATTATAAGTTCCCTTGGCTTTGGTTTCGCTAGATAACAGATAGGGACAGTGGGAATCTCGTTAATCCATCCAGTCATATTCACATGAATTGATATATTTATAATCTAATTAATATCTAGTAGATCTTCCTTTCGCTTCGTGGAGTT